TTCTACTTATCCACGCGGCGCCACCTCAACCTACAGCGGCTCCGAATTCATACGCGGTGTGCTCTCCTTTGATGCTGCCATCCACTTTCGCGCCCACACACCCCGCTGTTCACGTGCTATCCGCTCGTCCGGCTTGATCTCCTCCATTAGTTGGATACACGCGCGATCGGATGGCTCTCCGTTATCGTCTCTAAGTGACCTAACCCGTAAGCCATTCATACTAAAACCTTAAGATCTTCGTCTAGAATCAACCAAATCGCATGGGGTTTGTTTCTAAACCTTCATCCACTCAAGACGAACACATCTATATGGTTAATCAAGTATGAAATCAAGCTATTGCAAATGGAGATTCAAATTAAGCTTGGGCTAGGGTTAGAGCATAATACCTTTTTCTGAGAGGGCAAGATTCAATCAGATGGTTGTGGTAGCTTTGATTGGACCTAACAAACCTCTTGATGAAGTCTCAAGCCTTGGTAAATTGCTTAGGTATTTTTTCGATCAAGGTGGATTTCAGGTGTTGGTCTAGAGCTACCCTAGAGGCTATTTCAAAGGGGGGTTTGATGTGGAATCAACTCCTCCTGCTCTAGGGATGGTGTGTGCATAATTAATTTAAGTTTGGTGGACTATGAAGAGATGTCGTGGTTTGAGCTGAAAGTTTAAGCTCAAAATTGGGCTTTCACAGTGGGGATCAATGGGGGAAAATGGTGGCAATGAGCTTAGGAGTTCTTAAAGCGTGTCTGAAAGCAATTAGACAGAGTTTCCCCAAGGATTTTGGCACTCCCCTCTCTTTGGCCATGGAGGGGCTGATTAAATAGAGGAGCTTAGGTGGGAGCTCAAGGCTAATTGATGGGTGTAAAATGGTGCTTAGTTGGAGGGCTGAGGAGCTCTAAAGAGCCATTGGGATGAGCTGGCCTCTCAGGTTGAAATTGGGGTTGAATTTGAGCTTGGGGGTCACAGTTTTGGTGTTTTCCGGCAACTAGGTCGGCCGACAAGGCCAGGGGTGGTGGGCAGAAGGTCAGGTGAGCCAGGGGGAGGCTTAATTATATATTACTCCCAATGGTAAGTGATGATGGAAGAGATTTTTGGTTAAGGCCCAACAATGGGATAAGATCCTTAATTTAGGGACCCATTGGTCCATAGCTTGCTTGGGTGGTTTGAGAGGGTTTAGCCTGGTAAATAAGGTGTGCTTAGTTGCTATGGATACCTTTATTTGGTGACCTTAGGATGGCTAATTCAATACACCTTAACATTGAAATTGAGGGAAATTGGGTCTAAATTTATGGACATTTGGCTTTACTGCTTTTTTATCCCAAAATACCAAAATTTCTTCAAAAATCACTTCAAACCATTTCAAAATACCCAAATTGCCCAAAACCACCCAAAATTGCCAAAATTACCAAAATACCCCCAAATTTGCTAAAATTACAAAAATACCCTTGGCACCCCAAACTTTCCCAAAACCTTAAAAATCATCTCAAGTGTCTCCAAAACCAATTTGGACCCTCCAATTGGACACAATTTGACCAATTTGATCATTTAAGCACTAAAGCCCATTAACATGTGCACCTACTATCATTCAAATGTAGCTTTCCAAATTTCTTAAATATTAGTACTATGCTGTTAATTTTATAGTCAAATTATTTTGGTGCTTGCATTAAGTAATAGTTAAAGAGAAACGGCAAAAATTTGATTGACTTCTTAATAGCTCGTATTTGCACTTATTGCTGAACAATGTCAGCAAATATGTTTAATGATTGAATATAAAAAAAATATTATTTTTATAATATTTAATGCATAGCATAAACATTTAATCTCTTAGAAAGTTTTATTTAATGAATAAAGTGTAAAGGTTTATGCAAAAAACGAACCAAGAAAGGGCCAGTCACATGCTACCTTGCCCTTGCGCCCATGTTCTTTACTTGAACAAACAGTCATTGAGGTCTGACTATCAAGCTTCTTACCCCTTACCGTTTCCTCGTGACCACAGCGAACGCTCAATTTAAAAGCATTCGGACTGTCCCCATCCTCTACATGACAGCAACAATGGCGAGAAGCTTTACACCATCTCATTCTGTCCTGCCGAACACCACAGCAGTCATCCTGCTCTTCCTAATCTTAGGTTGATTTCATCTTTCGGTTCCTACTCTGCAAATCATTTCTCAACTCACACTGATTTTTCCTACTCTCGACTGAATAACATATTCCTTGTCTGCATTTCTTAAACTTAACTGCAGTTTAAAAGCTCAAAATGTTTTTTTGGCAGGAACAACCCCTTGTCTGGTGTTTGGAGAGGTAAGCTCAAAAGATTATTTCAATTGTTTTGATGCCTTTTGAAACCACAGAAGCAGACTTAAAATTCCTCAAAACAGAAAACCTGGTGCATTGCGAAGCCTTCATCAGATGTGGCAACACTGCTTGCCAACATTAACTACGCATGTTCTCAGGTGGATTGCGGCATGATACAAAGCGGCCACCCCTGCTTCTACCCTGATACTCCCATATCTCATGCATCCATAGCCATGAATTTGTACTACCAAGCCAAGGGGAGGAATGCTTGGAACTGTTACTTTAGCAACTCCGGGCTTCTCCTCAATACAAATCCAAGTAAGATTTTAAGCTTCAATTAACAGATTCTAGGCGCAGTTTCTTTCACTAATGCCTCGTCAGCATACAGCAATAAAAGAGAAGTCATTTTTCTTTAGAAAGCTGTTTTAATTGAGATTTACGAACTAAATACTGTGCAGGTTATGGCAGTTGTGTTTATGCTTGATGGCATCGTTGGAGAGTCTCCCCGCCTACTGGGGAACAAGGCGAAGCGATCGTAGCTTAGATTCCATGTTCGCGGTTTTTTATTATGTTTTGTTTACCACTGATGAAACATTGATGAAATCATGAAAATATGGACGGAATAATATAAATATTTGGTCTCTTTCAGGATTACAGCTGGTGTTAGTATAAATTATTATTTCAAATCGGTTTGGTTTGGCTTTTTTTTAATTTCAGGCCATTACAGCCATGTGAGGTAACATGCAAAAAGGGCTGTAGGACGAGGAGAGCTGACACCATTATTCATCACATCCTTAATGTTTTTTTTTTCTTTTTGTTTAATAAAAAATAGAAAAGACAACAACCTTGATTACAATCTGATCCACACATGGATAATGTTCCACTAAGAAAATGCACGAAAATTACAATTCTCAAACTCTTCAAAAAAATATTTACTTTCAAAATTTGAAATAATGTTTTTGTTTTAAGGTTCCCCGGGTTAGTAATGAGCAAGGCAAGGGATGGTGAACTAGTGCCATTTCCAAAAAAATATTTTCAAAATTTTAAATGGGTATGAAATCGAAAACATGATTTACAAAATGTAGATATCAAAGGCAAGCAAAGACAGAAAAAGACGGCGCATCGAAAATTTTGCTCTTATCATCGGTCTCACCTAGACCTCTAGTATTAAGCTTTCACTCTTTCAATCTTACGACAACAATTTCTCCTTTCCCTTCGATGGGGAAAGGCCTTACGATCTATATTCTATCCAAAAAATAAGTTTATAATTCAAAAATGTCTTTATTAAGCTAGAAGATTTCCTAAAAGTTTTATTAGGATAGATAAAATAACAATCTAATGTCTAAAAGAGCAAAGTAAATTAGATGGAAAAAAATTCTAAGTGGTCACAGAGAATTGACGAGCACGGAAATAATCTCAAAACTGTTCGGAAACAATGGGGACAAGACAACTTGATGAGTGTCAGAAAGCCTGTGGTGGTAGAGTGACTATTTAGCATTTTAGCATTGTACGAGACTCTTTCACACATTCAGATAATTAAAGAGAATTAAGAGAGAATAGACATCTCGATTTTTATGTTAAAAAATCATGAGAAGGAAAAAAAACACAAAGCCTAGCGTAGCTAAAATAATTCACTATGAATGATGGGTACTCATATCTATTCTTCTCCTAAATTACAAAAGATTGAGGTACAAAGATGATTTTTGTAAATTTACAAGAGTGGTTCTTGATAATAGGAGGTTGTAAGGGCATAGTCAATTGCTATGGAAGTAGTAGTCAACCGTGAATGTTGTAGATGGTTGTCGTGGCGTCAGCTTGTCGTATAGGTCGTAGTTAAAAGACATTATAATAGTTGGTTGTGTGGGCCACATATGGCTGCCTCAAGAGCATTGATTGGCCACATAAGTCATATTATGAAGTTATAAAAGTTGTGAGCCACATATGTTGTAGTTTGTCACATAAGCCAAAGCAGCGAGTTGCGATAACGTCGATAGGCCATGAAGATTGTGTATTGTGGGCTATGTAAGTTGTGGGTCATGTAAGTCGTAATTAGTCATATAAATAATAGCAGGGAGCTGTGATGACTTTCATAGGCTACAAAGGTAGAAGTCGGGAGCTTTATAAGCAGTAAGCCATGTTGGTCATAGTCAGTCACATAGTATATAGTGGTTAGTTGTGATGATGTCTTTAGGCCATAGAGCTCAGAATTCAGAGTTGCATGAGTTGTAGACCACATAGGCTGTAGTTAGTTTCGTAGGTCGTAATGGTGAGTTGTGATGATGTACGTAGCTGCAAAGACTAAAGTTGAGAGTTGCATGACTTATGGACCACATAAGCCAAAGTGATGAATTGTGATGATGTTTGTAGGTCACACGGGCTAGAGTATAGAGCGGCAAAGTTGTTGACCACGTAGGTCGTACTTGATTATGTAGGTTGTAGTGGTAAGTTGTGCTATCGTTTATAGGCCGCAAGGGCTAGAGTCGACAGTTACACGAGTTATAGAGCACATAAACCATAGTTGGTCACATAAAGCATAGTGGTGAGTTGTAAGGATGTCCGTAGGCCATGGGGAGCAGAGATGGGAGTTGAACGAGGCATTGAACATATAGGTCGTAGTTGGCCTTGTTGGCCATAGTGGTGACCTGTGATGACGTCCATAGATTGAGGGGGCCAAAGTCGGAAGCTGCACGAGCTATAAACTCCTAGGTCATAAATTAGTCACATTAGCCATAATGGTGATCTATGATGACATTTGTAGGCTGCAGAGCTGAAGTTAAGAGCTGCACGAGTTGCGAACCTTGTTGGTCATAGCTGGTCACGTAGGTCATAGTTATAGGTATTGACGATGTATGTAGATAGGAAGGGCCAGAGTCGGGAATTGCACGAGGTGTGGACCATGTTGGTCATAGTTGCTCACAAAAGTCATGATGGTGAGTTGTGATGATGTTTGTAGGTTGCATGAGCAGTAGTTGGGTACATGAGATGTAAAACTATGTAGGTCATATTTGATCACGTAAACCGTAGTGGTGAGTTGTGATGGTGTGTGTAGGTCATGGAGGCTCGAGTTGAGAACTACACAGAGGGAGCTATATGAGTTCAAACAAAGTCACCATCTTTGGATTACATTATTACATTGTCTTCGGGAGGTGTAGATGCACCGTATGTGAGGGCTTTTGTTACATCATTCTAGGTGTGTCATTGCACTTTATTGGGGTGCATTATTACACCTTTATTTAGATGTGCCATTACA